GGGGTGGAGGTAAGGGAAGAGTTTCTGTTTATCCCAGGCTGAGGCTCAGGATTTTTGTGATGGATGGTCACTCCCTGAGGGAGGTTCAAGGATGGATGGTTTGAGACTTAGGGATGGATGACAGGAAAGACCTCACTGATGGGGTGATGTCTGTTGTGTGCATTACTTGGTTTTCTTTTTTTAAAGCTAAAAGCCTAAGAGCTTATTTTTTAAGGTCAAGAACCATGTCCTCAGCTACGTCAAAGCTTTCTGCCCTGTCAGATGATCCAGAGTCAGTCTAAAGCTAAACTGGAAGGTCATCTATGTCCATGGCTCCCCACTGCTTTCCTGGGGGCTTTTTTCTCTCTGTCTGAAAGAGCCATCTAGCAAGCACCCAGGAGTTTTCAATGGCCTGTGGCATAGGAATGGAGTCCAGCAAGTCAACCAGGTGTAGTAGGTGCTGCCTTTAATCCTAAGAAAGGCTGTCAGGGAGGGGGAAGAGCACTAATCAAAGTGACCCAAGTTCTGGTCATTGGTCTTGGACAATTAATTCCTTGATCCCTTAGCTCTAACAGGAGTTTTCATCCTTACCTACTGGGTTTGGAGACTCAGAAAATCATGAATGTGAAAAGAACTTCCTAAGACTATATCCAATTTATTATCATTGACAGTTGTGATCATCACCTTCATGAAGACCTGGAGAAGGCAGTGGTGGGCTCTGATGGAGGACCCAAAGCTAGTGGATGTCCTATCTCAGCCCCTCCAAGAGAAAGACCTTCCACTTAGGGACCTCAGATTCCCCACCCAGGTATCAATCTGAGTTCTAGAATTTCTCAAAATTTTTGTGGAGAGAAGGATAGGCAGAAGGAGGAAATGATTCAGGGAAGAAGTACACTTCACCCAGTCAGTGGTAATAGGACATTTCAGAAGCATTGATGTGTTTGCATTTCAGCCATGATGTTGATACATAATGTGTTTTAAGCTTCAATGACAATGCAACTTGGGTCTCACTGGATCCCAAACAGGTGCTCAAGTATCACAGAAACTGCTGACAAGCAGACAGCCAGGGCTGACCCAGCAAAGAGACAGAGGGGATAATCAACTATGTGCACAACCTAAGAGGCTCCTCATCTTAAATAACCCTCCCAAAGGGTTTCCAGATTTCACCATTAGAAAGTCATTATTTTAATGTTAGCACTATCCTTTGCCCAATCTCTCTTTAAAACACAAAGATCCCAGCCAAACAAGGTGCACTGAGCCTTAAATCTCTACAGCTGTATCTTTCCAGTCTCCCATGTGAAGTCCTCTTTCCTTCCATCTGCTTCCCTGTAGTCCATGTTTCCCAGGAGATCTCATTCCCAACTCTGGCTTCACCTACAAGATCAGCATCCCAAATCTCCATCTCCAGCCCAGATTCCTCTCCTCATGTCCTGTATTTCTCTGCTCCCCAGACAGTTGAATGACCCACAATGACCATCTCAAATCGCCATCTCCCTTACAGGCTCCCTGTTATGGTTTGCATAGGGTTTGAGTGTGTTCACCAAAGGTTTATATGTTGAAATTGAATCCTCATTATGAGGTATTAAGAGGGTGGAAACAATCTGGATATGCAGCCCTTGGGAGATAACTGAGAGCCCCCGTGACACTGATGGCCTTAAAAAAGAGGAACACCAGAAGATGGACACATACACACACACATACACACACACACACACACATACACACACACACGTGCTCCCTATGTCTTGTCATATGATGTTCTGCACTACCTCGGGACTCTGCCAGCAAGAAAGCCATCACCAGATGTTGGCCTTTCACCTTTCAGCTTCTGAACCATGAGCCAAAATAAACCTTTTTTTCCCCTTTTTTTTTTTGGCAGTACTGGAGTTTGAACTCAGAGCCTAGCACTCTACCACTTGAGACATGGTCCCTGCCCCTTTTTGCTTTAGCTTGTTTTTAGATAGGTTCTAGACTGGCCTCAGACAGCAATCCTCCCACCTTTGCCTCCCAAGTAGCTGGTCTTGCAGGTATGCACAACCATGTCTGGGCTCTCTTTACATTATAAATGTACACAGCTTTGGGTGTTTGGTTATAGTACAGAAAATGGACTGATATACTTCCTTCTAGGACACCTTTTATCCTTGAATGACAGAAACATAGGCTCTTGTTTTCCTCTCCCCTTGCTCTCTCTCTCCCATTCCATCACACCCTCTGCTTCTTTGGCTCACTTGATCTGTTTAAATCTACTCAATTTCCAACCAGCACATGCCATAATGTCCTTCCAAATGGTCCCTCACCTTTTAGCCATTGTCTCCTGGAATCCATTGTTCTCAGTGAAGTACTATTGCTCACATGCCCCACCCCCATGCCTTTGATGACTCCCTGTCAGCTGTGGAGCACAGCCCACATCTTAGGACCATGGGCCCTAGCCTGGCTCCCTCCAGCCTTTTATATACATGAAAGGGCTAAAAGAACTTTGCAGATGTGAGGAAGTAAAGGATCCTGTGATAGAGAGAGGATTCTTGGTTATCCAGGTGGGCTCTACCTGCAATCACAGTCCTTCAAACCTTGTATTTGAATCTCAAACAAGTCACTCTGTACACCAGAGGCACAGGTTAATTAATAAGTTCATCTGCAGGTCCAGCAAGGTCTCACTTCAGGAAACTAGAGAGTATCTCTAAATAGACCAGCATGATACTGAACCTTAGACACCGCTGGGCTGCCTCTGGACAGCTGTTTCCCTCACAGAAGCCCTACTTTGTTGCTCTGTATCCTCCTTGGCACCACTCATGAGCCACTCAGGTTGACATGTGGGCCATGATTGATCTTAACTGCCATTGGGATACTCTTCCTCTCTGGCTAGGGAGGTTCTAGGAATGTTTCCAGGGGGATTTCTGGGAAACAGCTTTTTCCCTCTTAAGAAAGTCATGGAAAGCAATGCCCCTGCTGCTGCTGGAGCTGTCATTTGACCAAGAGCAGAACCAGCCTTGAACGAAGCTGACATTGGGACAACAGAGTAGACAGATGGCAAGAATTGGAAACTAAAAGACACTGTTCTGAGAAGACTGGTCCCAAATCCTTCCGAATTCCTGAACTTCCTCTAAACATCTTCGTATCGGATTCACATCGATGCAAGAGCCATATCTCAGAGTCCTGTCCCTATACAACTGCATTTGATTGGCTGAAGGATGAGGCATGGAGATGAATGAAATAACATTGCTCAGCCATGCATCATCAGAGGTGAGAACTACAGCTGGCTGAACATCCCTGCTGCTGGGAGGTTTATTTCTGAAAGCACTTGGCACAATCACACTGTAATATTGGTTCTTGCTTTCTTCCTCTCATCACCAAGCATAGGTCAGGATGGATCAGAGCATCTGCTTTTTATTTTTTGACCAAAGAAAGTGACCCATTCAGGAAAATGAATTCTGTCTCCAACTTCTGGGCAGATACAGGAAGAACAGGGCCATTACTTTCCTTGAGACTTTAGGGGAATGGGAAGGAGAAATTAGGTTCAAGGCTGTGACCTTGGAGGTACAATACTTTCCCAGGAACATCTTTCTGGATGAGTTTGAGCAATTCAGCTCAAAACAGCAACGTTCCTTTGCTGTGGAACATGGTAGATTCTGATGAGTCTAGAGTGAAGACAGATGCCACCTTTACCTGGTCTTCCTACTATATTTACATGCAGCTGGTGACAGAAATATAAAACCACATGGTGGCAAAGAGATTGGGCCTCTGGGGTCAGGGAATCATGGATGAGGACCACACCCTCACCACTGGCTGGCTTGACTGCTCTGAGCTTCAGTTTCTTAGTTCATGAGCTGTGCCCTCTTGGTAGGACTGATGCCAGGATTCAGTGCAACAGTCCCACCTCATGGACACAGTAGGCATTAAATAGATGGTGGCTCTTGTTGTGATATGTGTTATTACCTGATCTTATTCTCGGAGAAAGGATGCTTTAAAACACAGAACATGGAAGGTACTCCTCAAGGTTCTGATTAAGTCAAGAGTGAGCAATGACATTCTGAAACAGCACCCAGGTCAGATCATCATGGCACCAGGGGCACAGTGATTTGCCAACTGTTTAGATTATGACTAAAGACTTTAAAGATAGCCCAGAGCTGGAACCCAATGAAGTGAAGCAAGAGAACTGCACAGCTGGGCAGAGAAGGGGAAGTCTAACAGCTAGACACTGGGCAGCAACCAGCCATCAGTCTTGTTGGGGTTATGTTAAAATTCCCATGGAAGGTGCTGGTCATTTCATGAAGCCATAGGTGGTCAGGCAGCACTGAGTCGTACCCCTCAGTTTAGAATCTGAGAGCCAGGGGCCCAGAGAGGGGACAGGCAGATGAGGGCTATGCTGGCATTAGACCTGAGAGCTCCTGACATCCACGTCCGTTGCTCTAATCCTTGAGGGAATTGTGACTGACTGCATTGCGTTTGCTCTGACAGATCACATTTCTCTCGATTTATTTGTTTATTTGAACTCAAGTGTCCTTTCTGCAGTCATAGGACAAAACTGTGAAGAAGGTACAGGAGGCCTGTTGTTCTCAGCCTCCCTTCCATTGCTCTCACCACCTTTGCCTTCCATTTTCAGCTATCACCACTCATCAGCTCCCTAGATGCCCAGTTTCAGCCCCCTCCCCTTATCTCCACCAGAGTATTATCACAATCTGTATTTTATGAGTTGCTTACTTACTCTCCACTTATCTGTGCACTCACCCCACTCCCAACACACACACTCAATTGTAAGTTCCATAAAGGCAGCCTTCACTTGAGGCTATGGCCCTAGTGCCTAGAACAGTGCCTAGCACATCACAGATACTCAGTAAATATTTAAGGAACCAACCAAAACACTCACACAGAGATGATGGCGCCTTACCATTTCCTTCCTGTGATACACATTGTAAGAGAGGACTCTTAGGGAAAGTAGGAGTGGACTGGGAGGAGGAAGGTAAGATTTGTTAAGCCCTGCTGAAGGCCAGACGCGGAGGTAATTAACAAGCCTTACCCATGAGAATGGCCATGCATGGTGGAGTCCCAGTGGCAGGTGAATGTGTAACCCAAAGCAATGAGTCTCTAGTGAAGGCATGGGAAAAAGAAAAAACATTTTTGAGTCTGAGATGGAATCTTCCTGGTGCCTCCCTTAGCATACTTTGTAGCCAAAACATACACTGCCTGTCAGAAGAGGGGCCTGCTTTGGACATCACAACTTCTTAGTAATGACCAGAGGAACTATCATTGTCCAGGTGGGAGGTTTTCAAGCCAGTGGAAGTTTTGTGCAACTTTTACTACAGATATGCAGACATGGCTGGAAGACTTTGTTACAACATGGACAGAATTAAGTTACTGTGTCCTTTTATCTACACAACAGGACTTCTAGGAATTTTAAGGGCATCATCCTATAGCTGTCTGACAAATCCAAAGGGGCTGTAAATAAGACTAAATGGAGGGTCAGACCTCAGAAATAATTATAGTGTGACTTTTGTCAAATAGATTGTGTACAAATCAGATTCATAAGAAACCCACATAGTTTTTAGTGGAGCTGGCATGTGACAGTGCTACCAGCCTTGATTAAGACCTGGGTTGTTTAAATTATAAAAGGGTCTTTGGTCTCCAGCTTCGTAAATATAGGAATCAATTTGAGAAAACTATCTAGCTCTAAATAAGGCCATTTGAGGGTGAGTCCCAGAGGGAAGACCCAAGACAGTGAAAATAACAGATGAAGCAATCACTCTTAGGAAGCAGGGCATAGACCTAATAAAGGAATATTCTCCACTCTTAAATAGGAAGACTGTTAATGTTAGCCCACCTGGATTTCATATCGCTATACACCAATGAGAGCTACTTGCTTCCTTTTCTTCCTCCTTTTATATAAGAGTGTCTGTAACATTTATCCTTTATCTGTCTCACCTATGTACTTCAGGTATGTGTGGATCAGACAGCTTATCTTCTTGGTCCATGTGTCTTTAAATGAAGAGAAGCCACATTTGAAAAGTCTTGCTGTAATCTGTCATGGATAATAAGGTCCTAGACTTCAAGCTTGATGTTATAGTTTGATGAGAATGGGGGTGTACATATTAGAGTGAGTAAGAGCATATTTGTAAATGGTGGAATGTGAATGAATAACTCTGACCAGAGAATGTACTTCAGCAGACTGAAAAAAATAGCCACAATCCTCCATTCTTCCTCCTTCTCATTTGTAAAGTTATTTTGCAATTTCTCCCATCAATAGCTGAAGTTTATGTCTACATTATTTTTTATAATAAAATTTTTATTAGGATATATTCATTATACAGGGGGGGATTTGTAGTAACAATTCTGATTAGACTTATATTGTACATTATTTACATTGCTCCCATCGTCTCTCCCCCTCAATTCCCTCCTCACCCCACTTAAAAGAATTGCAAAAGGTTTCTTAGTTCTGTTTCATATAGGTGTATGAAGTCAATTTACCATATACCGTCAACTTAATCTCTTTCCCTCCTCCTCCCCTCCTCCCACACACACACTGTACCTATTTTACAGTTCTGTTTTCATTATTAATATTTAAGTTGAGGTTCAAAGGGGTATCTCAATGTATGCCTATTGTGGATGTGCTTTACGTTGGTCTGTTCAACCCCTTCCATTACTCTCCCTTTCCCTTTTACCTCCCACCCCTATTTTTCAACAGCTTTCAATACACATCCTGATATCCTCTGTATGTCTCCATTCTTGACTCTTGCCAGGCCTTGGCATATATTTTGACCATTTGTATACTCCTCTCCTCCCACCCTGAATCCTGACATCACCAAGTGACTTAGTTCATTTGTGTTGCTCTAACGAAATTATGTGGATTGGGTAACTTACAAAGAACAAAAATATATTTCTCATGGTTCTAGAGGTTGGAAGTCCAAGATGAAGATGCCAGTATTTGTTGGGTGAGGGCTGATTTCTGCCTCCAAGATGGCTCTTTTCTGCTGTGTCCTCACATGGTAAAAGGCAGAAAGGCAAGAGAGGTGAGTTCTCTCTGAAGCCTTTTTTTTATAAGGGCATTAATTTCTTCATAAGAGAAGGGCTTTAACGGTCTAATCATCTCCTAAAAGTTCCACCCTCTTACTATCACCACCACAGATCTCAAATTTCAATGTGAATTTTGGAGAGGATACATTAAAAACATAGCACCATGTAAGCAAGCTTATTGAACAATGGAAGACATGTGGCCTAGTCTACTACTTTGTCTCAGGTGACATCTAGACAGTCATCAGTTGTGAGTGAGATGCTCCTAAACCAGTTAGCTCCTCTCCCCATCTTCAGCAGCTGACTATTCCTCTAACCACAAGTGCATGACAAGCTCAAATGAGATTTGGGAGGTCCCAGAAGAAAGACCAACAGTCCCAGAAGGAAGATGCAGGACAACAACACTGCACACTTGACCTTAAGCAGTGAGTAATAACAAATAGCTACTGTTTTAAGCCACTAAATGTGACAATTATTTGTTACACAGCAAAAGCTTACTGATATATTATTCCCCAGCTTTTCATATTATTCAACCTATGCATTGACTCTGTTTTTTCAATTATTAGGTTTTCCTTGTCTGGTATCTTCTTCCTTACTACTTATTCTTGCTTCATGTTCTAATAGCCTTCCCTATTTCTTTGAGGAGATATGTTATGCTTATTTTAGTTTTGTCCTGTCTCTTTTATGAATTCTGCTTCCTTTGAATGGGAAGGAGTAAGCATGGTTAGGATGGTCTGGGGCAAATGCAAACATCCTAGTGAATGAAAGGGAAGGAGCAGGTGTTTGACATCCTAAGTTATCAATGCTGAAAGAGACCTAGTCCAGCTTTTGCATTTTACAAGTGAGAAAATGGAAATAATCTACTCAAACTCACACAGCAAGTTAGGGGCAGAGCTGAGAATAGAACCTCAGGTTTCTCATCTCTTCCCACTACCCTTGGTTGTATCTCTAATCCTCAAGATTTTGGAATGTTCAGTGGACTCTGTCTCACTTAGCTCTACAGGCTTCCAAGCCTTGATGCCTAAGCTAATATGCACCATCCACTTTCCAACTTTTGAACCTTTTTTAGGTTCCAATCAGCCTGATCTCTTCACTGTCCCCTTGACCCCTCCCCCATTGCCATTCCCAGGGTTTTGCCATTCCCCTTGCCCAGAATGCCCTCTCATACTTACCCAGTCAATTCTGACCATTCCTCAAGGCTCAGCTCAGACACACTTCTGCATCTGTCTTCCTCTTCCTACTTTCTTCTCCTCCTCTCCATTCTCTCCACTCTATCCATTTGGGACTTTCTAAAACATGAATCAGAGCACATTACTCCCCTCCTTAAATGGTTAAATGACTTTTGATATCCTAAGGATAAGGTCCCCTTAGTTTTCATAGGAATTAAGGGCCTGGTCCCTGCCTACTTTTCTGGCATCCTCCTCCCTGCTTTTTCATCCCTCATCCTGTCCCTAAACTCCAGCCATACCAATCATCATTCCCCAAACTTGCCATGGCAAAGACAGCAAGGATTTATTCAGCCAGTAGACAGGGCTCTGCATCAGGCCCTGGAGTGGGTCCTAGAGAGACAACGAGAATAACTAGATGTGGACCCTGCCCTTGAAAACTTCTAAGTCATGAAGGTAACAAAGATACTATAAGAAATTATAAAATAAGAACAATAAGAAACTGTAAAATATCAGATGTTATATTTTATAAGAAAGATAAAGATAAGAAACTGTAGAATCAAAACTAGTAGGTACCATAAGAAAGACTCCATGAATCAGCCAATGTCTTGTTAGCATTCACTATGTGCCGGTGTGTAGTGGGCATGGGGGATACATACATGAATAATATGTGGTCCCCCTCCTCAATAAGACTAACTATGAAATGAAAGGAGAGGAGAGGGGATTCCTTACCACAGAGAGTGGAGAATTATCAGGAATGTTTTTTTGGGGGAGGGCCCTTAAAATGGTCAAGAATTTAGCAATTAGCAATGGAACAATTCCAAATGAAGTTGGAAGAAAACTCCTGTGATAATGTCTATTAGTTCAGTAGGAGCATTTGTTAAAAATCAACATAATTTCATGTTAAAATAAAAAGCACTTCAATAACTCAGGAATAGAAGGAAAATTCCTCAATCTAATAAAGATTTTCTATAAGAAATTACAAATATATCATAACTAGTATTTTAAAATATTGAGAACATTGCCTTTAAAGCCAGGAACAATTTAAGGATGTCTGCTGATATCAACTTTATTCTATACTTTACCAGAAGTCCCATATGATGCAGAAGATTAAAAATAAAAATGTGTGGATAATAAAGAAACACCATCATTATTTATAGATGATATGTCTATGTACACAGAACATTTCAAAGAACTTTCAGAAAAATTATTAAAATTACTAAGATAAATCAGTAAGGTTTCTCAGTCTAAAGGAAGCAAAAGTAATTTCATTTTTATGTATGAGCATCAAGCAGAAAATGGCACTTTTTCAATGGAAGATATTTCCCATAACAACAAACATGTAAGTCAACACTAGAAAAAAATTAATGGAAAAAATGGAAGCCCTCTACAGAGATAATAAAGTTTTATCAAGGAACACATAGGATAAGACCTAAGAAAATGGAGATACAAACAGTATCTTTGGTAGGAAAGCACATCAGTGTAAATGTGTCAACTCTTTTCCAATTGATCTAGAGACTTAATGTGATTCCAATTAAAATTCCAATAGAGTTTTTCATGGATATCAGCAAGCTGGTTCTAAAATACACGTGGAAGAACAAAAGGAAGAGAATGGCCTGAAGAAGAAAAGCAGGTGAGGGGACTTGTCCTTCTAAATGAAAATATAATTAAGGGTACAGTAGTTAAAGTAGTGTGACAGTGCTGCAGACAAATAGACCAGAGTCACAGTATGGAGAGAGAGCCACACATAGCCATGCACTCATGGAAACAGATTTAAACACATAAGAGATACCTAGGCTATATGACAAAGGTGATACTGATGGACTGTGTGAAAAAGACTTAATTCCACCGATGTTTCAGTTGACGACAGGCCACATATACACAAAGGCCATAACATTACATTGTCTAGTGACCTTGTAGAACTCTTAGTTTGCATTAATTAACTCTATGATATAATTCATGCAATGATAAAATCTCCTACCAATGCATTTCTCAGAATATATCCCAGTTGTTAAATGATACAACTGTAAATGGTTTTGAGCATTTTGGCTAGCTTCCCACTATATATGAAAACCAATTCCAAATAGATTTTAGAGCTAAAGAAACTATAAAACAGTAAGTCTCTAGAGCTATACTATCCTATTCATTGGTTACTAGTCATGTGTACCTCTTTAAGTTTAATTAAAACTAAACAAATTTAGGCTGGTGTGATGGCTCACATCTGTAATCCCTGCTATTTGGGAGGCTGAGATAATGAAGATAACAGTTTGAGGCCAGCCTGGGCAAAAAGTAAGTGAGACCCCATCTCAATCAAGTGATTGTTGTGGCACACTCCAGTCATTCCAGTTACATGAGAAGCCATAGGTAGGATGATGAGAGTCTGAGGCCTGCCCCATGCAAAAATGTGAAAAAGTATTTGAAAGATAACTAAAGCAAAAAAGGGCCAGGCACCGGTGGCTCACGCCTGTAATCCTAGCTACTCAGAAGGCAGAGATAGAAGGATTGTGGTTCAAAGTCAGCCCAGGCAAAGAGTTTGCAAGACCCTACCTTGAAAAATCCCATCACAAAAAAGGGCTGGTGGAGTGGCTCAAGATGTAGGCCCTGAGTTCAAACCCCAGTATCACACACATACACACAAAAGGAACCATCACGATTGCCTTAGACCAATCAGGGTCTGCCCTGGGAGCAAGGGATGGGCTCACTCATTCGTTGTCTCAGAGGGAAGGGTGATTAAAGAGAGTTGGAAAATGAAACAAAAAGGAGAAGGAGAAAAACAACAGTTCACTAAACTACCACCAGTGTAGTTCAATGCAATTCCCAACAAAATCCTAGCAAGTTGTTTTGTGGGTACTGACAAAGTGATTCTAAGGTTTACATGGAAAACCTAAAGACTCAGAATAGCGAATATTGAAGGTGAAGAACAAAGTTAAGCTGACAACCTATAACTATAAAACTTACTACAAACATGTAGTAATCAGGACAGTTGGTGTTTAGTGAAAGCATACACAAAAAGATCAGTAATTGAAAACAGAATAGAGCCCACAAATCGATCCACACAGAGTCAACTGAACTTTGGCCAAGGAGCAAAGAGAGGGAGAAAGGATAGTTTTACAACAAATGGTACTGGAAAACTGAACATCCATCCACAAAAATAAGTAAATCTAAGTGTCAACAAAATTTAAATCAAAATGAATCATGAAAAACCATGAAACTTGTAGATAGTAACATAGAAAAATTTTGTGATGAATTTTTATATATAATTTCAAAAGCAAAAATCTATGAAAGCAAAACAAATTGATAAGTTGAACTTCAAAAGCTAAAAACTTCTTATCTATTGAAGATGTTGTTAAGGGAAGGAAAATACAAGCCACAGAATGGGAGAAAACTTTTGCAAAAACTTATCTGATAAAAACAATAACAAAACAATTTAAAAATAGGCAAAGATCTGAACAAACAATTCATCAATAAAGATATACAGATGGCAAATTAGCATATGAAAAGATGATCCAATTTATATAACATTGGAGAATTGCAAATTAGACCAGAAGATACACTACACATATTAGGATGGCTAAAATCCAAAAACTGACAATAGCAAGTGCTGCTGAGGAAGTGAAGCAACAAGGAGTTTCATTTATCGCTCTTGGGAATGAAAAATGGCACACTCTGCAAGAGAATTTGGCAGGTTTGGTTTTGTTTTATCTTCCTTTGTTACAAAACTATCCATTCTCTTACCACTCTCCTTGATATTTACTCAAATGAGCTGAGAACTTACATCCACACAAAAGCCTGCACACGCATGCTTATAGCGGCTTTACTCATAATTGCCAAATGAGGAAGCCACTGAGATGTTCTTCAATATACAAACTGTAGAATATTAATCTAAACAATGGAATATTATTCAGTGATAAATATTATTCATCCATGCACTCCAGACAGGAAGGAAACTTATACACACATTTCTAAGTAAAAGAAGTCAATCTGAAAATTCACTTTAGTATGTGAGTTCAACAATACAAAATTTCTAAAAAGGCAAAATGACAGAAACAGTTGAAAGATCATTGGTGGCAAAGGACTCGGGGGAAGTGGGGAGGGATGCACAGGAGATGCACAGGCTTTCAGAGCCATGAAATATTCATATCATACTGTAATGGTGAATACATGACTACACATTTGTCAAAATCCATAGAATTCTACAATATGAACAGTGACCCTTAATATCCATTGTGGGCTTTCGTTAACAGTATTTACCAGCATTGGCCCATTAGTTGTAACACATCTACAGGATGTTAATAGTAGGGAAAGCTGTGTTGGGACTGGGGAAGTAGAAGTATGGGAATTCTTTGTACTGTCTGCTCAGTACTTTTAAATAAATAATTTTAAAGATGTTCAACCTCATTGGGGATGAAGGAAATACAAATTAAGTTATAAAGTGGTACTATTAAATGCCTGCCATGAGGGCCAATGCTAAGAAGACAATATCAAATATTGGCTACATTTACATACTGAAACCAGAATGTCATTTAAGTTCTAGTGGAAATATAATTTGTAAAACAACTTTAAAAAACAATTGACTCATGTATGATATCAGAAAAAAATGAGACCTGTTGAAACTATTCTAAGAACGAAGGAGGAGGAATAAAGGAGAATGATGGAGGGGGTGAATGTAACTAAGATATATTGTAAGTACTTTTGTAAATGTCACAATGTATCCCCAGTACAACAATAATAAAATAATAAAAACTTTTAAAAAAAATAAAAAATAGTGAAGATGAATAATAGGTATGTTATGACTCAGTGATTCCATTCCTAGCTACATACTTAACAGAAACATGTGCACAAGAATGGTGGGAAGACATATGCAAGAATTTTCACAGTAGCATTACTCATAATAATGAGTCTAATGTGAAAAATAATAACTCCCACACAGAATTGTGAGAATTAAGTAACATCTACAGGAAGTACTACCTGGTACATGGTACATGGTATATCCTTATTTGTTTGTTTAATGGTGTGCATCCATCAGTTTCTCATGCACAAAATAAATAAAAAAGACAAAAAAATTTACTGACTCACAGATGCAAAAGAAGATATTTATTGATAGGCTATTGTGCTATT